TTCTATTGCAATCGACTAAATTCTACTTTAGGAATGTAATATTGAAATTGTAAGAAAAATCAAATATTGAATTTTTTTTATATACATTTCTATTGGCCAGAAAAATGTCTACAGCTTTTCATATCCAGTAATTGTATTTCACAAATGTTTTATTGCATTGAGTCATCATATAAGGGACTTTCTTAAAGGCCTATAGAATGAACACTTAGCAAAAAACCTTGTGAAAATATCACTTTCTGTTTCTAAGTTGTGTTATTTTTTCCGGGAAAAAATCAAATTTTATTTTTATGCATGTATCATGCAAATTTCAAACTGAATGTAAGTCATTAATGTATATTTTTTATACGACCGCAAAAAATTTTGCAGTCGTATATTGGTATGACGTTGGCATCGTCGTCATTGTCGTCGTCCGAAGACACATTGGTTTTCGCACAATAACTTTAGTTTAAGTGAATGGATCTCTATGAAATTTTATCATAAGTTTCAATACCACAAAAAAAAGGGGGGTAAATTTATTTTTTTTTTTTGTGGGGGGAGGGGGGTCAATTCGCAACAGCAAAGTGTATTGCACAAAAGCAAAAAATGAATATAAATTCAAATCATATAACCAATTCTAAGTTCTTTGACTACAGTTATTCTGTGTCAGAAACCTTTTATGTGTCAAATATTTATTAACAATCCAAATTCAGACCTGTATCAAGCGCGAATATTGCGTCCATTTTTGCCCCAACTGTTCAGGGTTGGACCTCTGCGTTCGTATCGGCGAAGCAATTTATCTTATCATATTTCGATAGTGCCAATCAAAATTGACTTTGTGTAAAAATTAAAAGGAAAAATGAATGGGAGATGTTTTCTTTTTCATATGCCCTTAAAGGATTATTATAAGTATCAATCACTGTTTCGTTCTGTGATGAATTACTAAATCTAAACATTTAGAGTTAGTATGCTGTTGTAAAGATATTCCGGAATCTTTGCTTCAAATCCTACATCTCAATCCAAATTCAGTTACTTTTTAGCTCACCTGGCCTAAAAGGCAATTTTTGTCATCACTTGGGGTCCGTTGTCATCTTCTGTCTGTCCTTCGTCGTAAATGTTTAAAAAAATCATCTTCTCTGAAATCTTTGCCAAATGTTACCAAACTTAATTTAATGTAACTTAGGGTATCTACTCATAAAATTGTATCCAGGAATGTGATCCATCATCAAACATGGCTGCTGTTACTTAAAATAGAACATGGAGGTATAATGCAATTTTTTGCATATATCTAAAAAAAAAAAACTAAAGCAGTTAGAGCAAATCTAACATGGATAAAAATCATCAGCAGGTCCAGGTCTATCACCTGTGGAATTTTCAGAAAAATTAAGACAATTCATTTAGGATTTATTGCCCCTGGAATGTCAATTTTTAGTATTGGCTTATATCTCAAAAACTAAAGCAGTTAGAGCAAATCTGACAAGGAAGAATTGATCAGCAGGTCAAGGTTTATCTCCAGCAGAATTTTCAGAAAACCCAGTTATTGCCCCTGATATGTAATTTTTACGCCCCCGCCGTAGTGGAGGGGGCATTAAGTTTTACCTTTGTCCGTACGCCCCAAAGTTGGTTTCCGTTCTCTAACTTTAGTTTGCCTCAACCAAATGTTATAAACAATGCTTATTACCACAAAACACAGATCAAGTTTGAATTTTGGTGGCATCACTTTAACCGTTCTAGAGTTATGCCCCTTTACAATTGTAAAAATTGCTGAATTTTTTGTTTGCCCTAACCAAATGTTATGGAACTTATACACAATACTTATTACCACAAAATACAGATCAAGTTTGAATTTTGGTGGTGTCACTTTAACCGTTCCAGAGTTATGCCCCTTTACAAAAGGAAAAATTGCTGAATTTTTCGTTTCTGTTCTTAAACTTAAGTTTGCCTCAACCAAATGTTATGAAACTTATGCACAATACTTATTACTACAAAACTCAGATCGATAACAAATTTGGGTAGAGTCACTTTTACCGTTCTTCAGTTATGTCCGTTTATAATTTAAGAACATAATGTACTCATTTGTTTATGTGTTTTGATAGAAACTATAATAAATAGAGAGAAATTGTTAACACAAAAGTGTTCAGCAAAATGAGATCTAATAATAAGTCAATTTGGCCAAAGTTGTCAATTGATGGCTAATGGGAGTTATTCCCATGAAAGTTGGATTAACTTATTGCTATATAACTACAAAATGTAGTTGCAATGAAGGAAAAAAATAAATATTAAAATGGCATATTTTTTGCCAGGTGAGCCATTCAGGCACTTGGGAGCCTCTTGTTTAAGCTCACCAGCCCTTAAAGGCCGCAAGAGCTTTTGCCTTCACTTGGCATCAATCATGAATCACCATAAATTTAGATGCATCATCAAAAATGGCCAGTATTGCTAAATATAGAAAATGGAGTAAAGTGCAGTTTTGGGCTTATATCTTAAACACTAAAGCAATTAGAGCAAATTTTTAATTAGTAAAATTTATCAGGTGATCAAGGTCGATATCCTGCAGAATTTCGAGAAAAAAAATTGACAACCCATTTATGAATTATTGCCCCTAAAATGTCATTTTATTTTTTTGCAAATTTCAGTATTTATGCCCCCGCCGTAGTGGTGGGGGCATTAAGTTTTACCCTTGTCCGTCTGTACGTACGTACGTCCCAAAATTGGTTTCCGTTCTCTAACTTGAGTTTGCCTCAACCAAATGTTATGAAGCTTATACACAATGCTTATTACCACAAAACACAGATCAAGATTGAATTTTGGTGGCGTCACTTTAACCGTTCTAGAGTTTTGCCCCTTTATAAATGGAAAAATTGCAAAATTTTTAGTTTCCGTTCTCTAACTTAAGTTTGCCTCAACCAAATGTTATGAAACTTATACACAATGCTTATTACCACAAAACACAGATCAAGTTTGAATTTTGGTAGCATCACTTTAACCATTCTAGAGTTATGCCCCTTTATAGATGGAAAAATTGCAAAATTTTTATTTTCTTCTATATATCAATTTTTGAAATTGGAGTTATCTTCCTTTGTCCATCATTATAGTTGAATCAACTACAATCAATGCTTTATACAATGCAATGTTTAATTTTGACTTCCATGATCAAGTTGAATTTGGGTAGTGTCACTTTAACCATTATTGAGTTATGCCCCTTGAGAAATTGAAAGATTGCTAAATTTTTAGTTTCCATTCTGTAACTTAAGTTTGCCCCAACCAAACATTATGGAATCTATACACAATATTCATTACCACGAAACTAAGGTCAAGTACAAATTTTTTGTTTCCGTTTTCTAACTTTAGTTTGCCTTAACCAAATGTTATGAAACTTACTACATAATACAGATTAAGTATGAAATTTGGAGGCAACACTTTTACCATTCTTGAGTTATGTCCCTTTATAAACATAAAAATTGCTGAATTTTTCGTTTCCGCTCTCTAACTTTAGTTTGTCTCAACCAAATGTTATAAAACTTATACACAACCATTCTAGTGTTATGCGTGTTTACAAATAGAAAAATTGCTGAATTTTTAGTTTCTGTTCTCTACTTAAGTTAGCCTCAACCAAATGTTATGAGACTTACACACAATGCTTATTACCACAAATCTCCGATCAAGTTCAAATTTGGGTAGCGTCACTTTTACTGTTCTTCAGTTATGTCCCTGTATAACTATATGATATGCAAGCGGGGGCATCATCTGTGTCCACATGGGGACACTATCAACAATTTATTTTTTTATTATCTTGAAAACAATAATAGATAAAGAGAAAGTTTAAACACTAAAAATGACCTGATCAATCAGATCTACTAATACTTCAACTTGACAGAAATTTTCAAATGACCCCTTATAGGAGTTATTGGATTTTAATAATGATTTTTACCCTTTTTGCAATTTTTGTGAAACTATATTTGGTAGAGAGAATCTTTTGATAGGAAAAATATTCAACAGAATATGATCAACAAATGAGTCCACATCGATTAATCATCAATTGACCTCTTATAGGAGTTCTTGCTCTTGAAAGACTAACTTGACTTATTTTTTGCATTTTTGCAGAAATTGTAAAATGCAAAGGTGTTAAGCACAAGAAGATCTACAAATAAGTAAAACATTGCCAAAGTTATAAAGGAATTTTTGCCCCTGAATGACCATTTTTACCCATTTTATGAATTTTTTGCATAAATGTTCAGCAAAATTTGATCTACAAATAAGTCAATAAGGTTGAAATTATCAATCTACCCCTCACTTACTCACTTATCCTCTTCGTGCGTACTTGCACATGAGGCCACTACCAACACCCTCCACTGTTGCCTGTCTTGTGCCTTTCTTTCTGCCTTTCCCCATGTCATTCCCATGATTCTCAGTTCACTCTATATTGTGCATCACCATGTTTCTTTTGGTCTCCCTCTCTTTCTTTTCCCCTCTGCAGGTGTCCATCAAAGAGCTACCTTTGTCATGTCATGTTTGTCTTTTCTTAGAATCTACCCCTGAGAGGACTTATTGTTCCAAAACAAATGAATCAATTCGGGCTCTTGGGAGACTCTTGTTCTAATTACTTGGTATATCCATCCTCAATCTATCTGTCATCAACTTTATGAAAAAAAATCCCCCCCTTTGCTATTTAGAAATAAAGTTTTAACATCATAGTTCATGTAGGTACAAGCATTTGAAAGGTGGTTTCTCAATGATCAGGTAGCTGATTTCAAAAATCTCAATCTTACTTGTAATTCAACCCCAGTTATTAATTCGAGGAACTTAAGACTTCTTTGAAAAAGGACAAATAGTGAAAGTGCAAAACACATACATTTATACTTACAAGACTTAAGTTATCCATTAAGAAGCAAAAGTGACAGGAAGAGGGGCAAAACATGTGTCACAGATAAATTTTAAGTCATTTTATATCTTTTTTAAAACAATAAAAGAGGAAGTAATATTTGAAAAAAATATTGCATCATACTATTGATTTCTTAAAGTTAGTCATACATGTGGTTTTCTAAAGAGAAAGCAGAAATCCCAAAATACTTGGAATTTAACATAGCTGAAAATTAAAGTGAAGCAATCATAAGACTATGGCAGACCTACAAGGCAGGTTGTTGTTAGCTCTGAAAGAGAAAAATATTGTAAACTCTGAAGATTTAGCTCGAGAATTGCAAGAAGATCACCAAAAAATTGTTGGAGCAATCAAAAGTTTACAGACACATTATGGGGTAAGATATTTATGCAAAGTATACAATACATTATTTGGTAAGTTAATTTCCCCAAAGTTGCATCATTTGTTTATATTTAATATTTTCTTCATGACAAGGAAAAGAGTATCTAACTTGATAAATTATTAAAATTAGAGGAATGGAGAGAAAAAATTAAAAGTGACTGAAATACCTTTTTCTGTTTTCATACTTCATAAAATGATCCAGTAGCAAGTTTTTTTCTACCATCTGGAACAATTAAGAGAATTTATATTTCTGAAAATATTTCCAGAAATAGTGATTTTTCCTTTGCACATTTGTGCTGATAAACCATAGGTTGACTATATGTTACTGATCCCTACTTGGTGTTGTGGGTTTGTTTTTTGTTCACATCTTTAATAGTAGGAAACTCTGAATATCACTGAATTGCTTCTATTCCAAGAACATTGCTTGTACCAATCTTGTGATATTTAACTGAAAGTGCTCCAGATATTTCTGTGAATGGCTGAAATCCCCTTACCTAATAGATTAGATATTTAGCTAACTTGCACATATTTTATGAGATATTTATTGAAAAAAATAGAGCTTAAGTTTTTGTTTCTCCAGTAGTTTGACTAAAAACTGTTTCCACCTTTTATTTGAAAAAAAATCATAGTTTGAAACAGGACTTCATTACAATTCTGGCATCAAGTTCATTAGTAAAAATAAGATTAAAAACTCTTTTGTCTTGTAGTCAAATTGTCTCAAAATGATATCTTTCTGTTCATAAAGTGGAATAACCAAAAACTGTTAATTGTTATGTGATATATCAAGTCGTCAGATTTTGAATTGTATTGATTTTATTTAAATGTTCAAACAAAAGATAGAAGCTTTCCTCTTATGTCTTGTTTTTAAGAAATTTAAATCTACTAGAGTTCTATTTATAGAACAAAAAATCCAGGACATTGATTATACTTGTCAATAGGCAACTTATTCTAAATATAAATCCATGCAATATTTCAAATACAAAGAACTTATGTTCAAGGAATGCATTCTATTAAAATGAATTTTAAACTTTTAAGAAATACTATAGTTATATAGTGTAATTTTGTAGAAAAGATATGAGGTGTTATAAGTTCTTAAACAGAGTTTGTGTTTTGAACCATATAATTCTTTTTTTATCATTTATATGACGATTTATTATCCAGTTGTATATTTTTATAATTGATTATGCAAACTGTTGAGTATGGTCCGTCATGTTTTTGAATTACTGATCTCTATTTGAACTTTTAAGGAAAAAGTGTTTCATGGAAGTTGGAAAATTTAAATACATATATTTTTTATAATTTGATACATATTCTACCAAATTGTGATTAAAATTTGTTTAAACTTTCAACTGGCGAAAAAGAAATACACAAGTATGATATAAGAGAACAGTTATCTCTTGAAAAAGTATGCATATTTGGTAGGTCCAAAACAATGGCATATGCTCTGATTTTATTTTAATCAAATACAATTCCTTTTTTTAAGCAGTAATGTTCTTGGCCTAGTGTCCCTAGTATGATTATTAAATGATATATTTAAGGAAATATAATAAAAATTGCAGCAAGGGGTTGTCAATTTAAAATAGTAAGTTAGATAGAATATACAATTAATAAACTTACCCAGATGTTAGATAACTTGTACTTTATTTGTTGGATAAAGAGGGTATAAAGACTAAGATTAATAATTCAGTTACTTTTATACTCCTGTCACTAAGTGACTGAAGAAGGTAATTTTACAAGACTTGTTTTTTCATTGCTGTAGAGTTTTAGTTATTTTTCATAAGACTGTAAATTTGTCTTGCTTGTGTTATATATCTGTAAAACTTGCTTTTGGTCTAGTTTTGATTTAGATATTCTTGACACTACAGAAAAATTATTCTATTGAATTTGACAAATTTGACCATATTGATATCATGAAGCAATTTGTAATCTAAACCCTAGTTGGATTGTGTTAACCTCCAAAATTTTATCTTTTTGTGATATGACCATAAAATTGATTATTGTCATTTGTGGAATATCTATTAACAAAATATTAAAAAATATTAAAAAATATAAATAAAATATTATAAAAAATGTATATGTGTCCACTCTGTCCTTGTCTTTCATTTGACAAATATTTCAGAAAATGAGACCCATGTTTGCTTTTTTCAGTTGGATTAGCAATAGCATGAATAATTTATAGAATCTTTGTGAGGTATATATGTATGTCTGACAGTCTGACAAGGCTCATCCACCCTTTGTTATAATGAAATTAACGTTTTTATTTGCATATCTTGAAATCATGTTACACATAAGATTTAAAATCAGATCCAAAGTTTACACACAAAAAAGAAAGAAAACGTAACAAACAAACAAATCAAATCAAATTATATTGTACTGTCTTAAAGCTTCTTTTTATAGATATACTTATAATGAATAAACATAATTATCTTGTAACTCCAAAGTTTAAATTTTGTTCTTAGATTATAAATGCAGAACCTATAAATAAAACAAGATGGCAGTTAAGTGATGAAGGAGAAGTTGTAGCTAAGTATGGAAGTCACGAGGCCAGGGTATATAATGCTGTACCACAACAGGGTATCACTAGAGAGGAACTACTGGTATGTTATTGTATGTTATTGTATTGAATTTATTTCAAGGTAACTGCTTGACTAATGTGATTAGAGATTATAGGTATCATTGAGCACAAATCTTGAATTCAGTCTTATAAAGCAATGCCCTAACGTTGGTCATTGGAAGGTCTTAATTTTTTTTAAAGTAAAACTCAGCTGATAGCATTATGGCAAAAAAAGCAATCTGAAATTGTGTGAGATTGTTATGGAATGTTCTGATTATTCTTTGCCCTTGTTTTGTTCTTATTTTGTAAATTGCTTGCATTAAACTTTATCAAATACATGATTCAAGCATACATAATATTTCTATTCACTGGATGAAATGATATATTGTATGAAATTTTCCTACAGAAATCTGTTCCTCAGTACGGTGAAATTGGTTTCAGTAAGGCAATGCAGGAGAAATGGATAGAAATTAATAACCAAAAGGTGTATAGGAAGGTAAGTTACAATTATATAAATGACATTCTTCTCCATTTAACTGCTCAGTTGGAAAAGATAAAATATACCAATTTCTTGAGTCTACTTCGAATGTCTTTTGTGAAATATTCAAACATTACAAGCTTTGATATATATATATATATATATATATATATATACAAGTCTAAATTGAAAACAATGTTCAAACCTATGATTGCGTTGGATAAAAACCGCAATTTTTATACGTGTGCATGCAAAACAAATTTCTTGGTAGAGGGGTCTAAATACAGCACAAACAACATTTTTCAAAAGACCAAAAAAGTACAAAAATTTGTACACCATATCCGGATTTCCACAATCAATGTCTCTTCAGTGATGTTAGGAATCGAAACGGTATTTGGAAGGCCATATAATTTACCTCAATTTATGTATATATATATATACATATTAAGTAAATGAGAGGCTTAAAAAATAAATAAAAATAAAAAGCAATTAAAGAAATTAATATGTGTGAGAAATGAGAAAATGAAAAATACCAAATTAAACTTACCTTGTTCATCTTTTCTGTTAGTAATGATGTTTTGTTTTTTGAAGATTGATAGAATAGATGATAAAATACAAAGTATGTTAAAGAAAGTACAGACAGGTAACATCAATGATCTATCTGATGAACAAAAAACAGAATGTAAGAAAAGAAAGCTCATCAATGAAGGGTAAGTTTAACATACATCTCTAATCATATCTTTTAATTTAATATTATATTACATATCTCAGTTTCTGCTTATTTTAGGTTTCCTATACACTTTTTACAGATTTTTGGTAGGGTCTAATTTTTGTTCCTAATTTACAAGTTTTGCTACTTTTAGGATAAGCCTCTGTTGAGAATAAGTAGACAACAGAAGGACATACTGGCAATTTCTTAAGATTCACGATTTACTTGTTATAAGATGTAAAGCTTTATGATAAACAGAGAATCTTTATTTGAATACAGATAAGGCTGTGCAATGCAAAAATATTTTTTCTAGTAGTTTTGGAAGAATGACCAAATATAATCCATTTTTGCTCTTCATAAAAGTAAATACGATTTATTATAAAACTTTGTTACTTTTCAGTAAAATGACAGTATATAAAGTTAGCAAGGGAGAGATGTTTACACTAGATATAGAGAGACTAGAAACAGAATTAACTCCAGAGATGATTGCTAAGTAAGAGATATATAACCTAGGCTAAAATATGTCTAGCACACTCACTTTTGCAGTAATTTTAATTTAACTACAAATTATGTCACCATAACACATCATGGTATTTTCAAACGAATTGCCTGGTAAACAGATCACTCGATAATTCTTATTTCTAGATAAACCAGATCAATATTTCAAATAGTTTTATAAAAGATATATTTGTATTCAAATTTTTGATGTAAATATACTGTTTCTTTATACTTTGTAATGACCTTAATAATAACCTCAGTAAGAATTGTTTCTAATTAAAACAAAAAAGTTCTCTCTAGTTTGCTGGGTTACACCTGATGGTGTTTTGATTTTTAACTTTGTGTTATTTACAGTGGTACCTGGAGAGATAAGAAGTTCAAGTCATATGATATGGATGCTTTAGGTATACCACCAGATGCTGGACATCTCCATCCATTACTGAAAGTCAGGACAGAATACAGACAAATCTTCTTAGAGATGGGGTTAGTATTGTAATTAACAAGCATAAGTCTGTACATTTCTCACCTACCAATTTTAAATACAGGTATTATAGGGAAGAATAGTAAGTTTAGTAGATGTTACGTGAAGGCAACATTTAATATTCTATAAAAATGTATGCATATACATTCTTCGTATTAAAAGTGTGTATAAGACTCGAGGTACAATTTTGGATATGACCTTAAAACATGCCTCAATGGTCTCTTGGTAGAGTGCCCACCTTGAGTATGAGAGGTATGAGATCAATTCCAGGCTTGGTCAAGCTAAAGACTTGAGAATTAGAATTTGTTGCTTCTCCACTAAGCATGCAGCATTAAGGAGTAAGAGCAAAGACTAGTGGGGATAAAATAATGTTTCAAGGTAAGGTGAGATGTCTTCCTGCAGACTGTAATACCTTTTTGAACTAGCATGTATAGAGATGGAATGTTATCTTCAATTGAATTTGAGTGTTTGTAGGCTGATCATTTATATCATTTCTATTTTACAAGGTTTACAGAGATGCCAACAAATAACTTCATAGAAAGTAGTTTCTGGAATTTTGATGCACTCTTCCAGCCTCAGCAACACCCTGCCAGAGACGCCCATGACACCTTCTTCATATCAGGTAAACTTACACAGACACACTCACACATAAATAAATACATTACAGTTTAATTAATATATTGATGCACTTTTCTAATCTCAACAACATCATCCTGCTAGATATGCCCATGACACCTTCTTTATATCTGGTTTTTTGTTTTTTACTGTATATGATCAAATATGTTTTAAAAAGTTGGTTTTTTAAACATAAAGGGATCAGTCTTGTAAACTAAAAACAGACTCATATATATATACAGCACCAACCATTTATCTTTTGTTTGGGAAGCTTTTTTATGCCCCGTGGAAGCAGAGGAGGCATTAAGTGTTACCCTTGTTCGTCCCGTCCGTACGTTCCAAAAATTGGTTTCCATTCTCTAACTTCAGTTTGCCTCAACCAAGTGTTATAAAATTATACACAATGATTATTACCACAAAACACAGATCCAAGTTAAAAATTGAGTGGCATCACTTTTATCCTTCATGAGTAATGCCCCTTTATAAACATAAAAATTGCTGAATTTTTCGTTTCCTTTCTCTAACTTTAGATTGCCTCAACCAAATGTTATAAAACTTATACACAATGCTTATTACCACAAAACACAGATCAAGTTCAAAATTGGGTGGTGTCACTTTTATGGTTCATAAGTTATGTCCCTTTATAAACATAATAAAATGCTCCGCTGGGGCGCAGCTTGATACGACTGCAGAGGTTGAACCCTGAACAGTTGGGGCAAGTATGGACACAACATTAACGCTTGATACAGCACTTAATTTGGATTGTGATTTAAATATTTGACACAGCATAGGTTTCTGATACAGAATGAATGTGGTCTAAGAACTTAAAAAATTTTAATTTACCGATTCAAACCATATCATTATTATTTGCTTTTATATATAAATCAGAAATAACCAATTTAAAATGGAAAATTTTAAAGAAAAAAAAATCCCCCCCCCCCAATTCTTTGAACCCCCTTATGATTCATCACCCCCAAACTCAATCCCAGCCTTCCCTTTGTGGTATGGTACCTTGCAGTACAATTTCAGAGAGATCCATAAACTTGAACACAAGTTATTGTCTGGAAACTAGAAAAATGCTTGTTTTTTGGCCCCTTTTTGGCCCCAAAGTCCTAAACGTTAAGGGCAATTACCCCCAAACTCAAACACAGCTTTCCCTTTGTGATATGGAACCTTGTAGTACAATTTCATAAAGATCCATACACTTACACACAAGTTATTGTCCTGAAACTAGAAAAATGCTTGTTTTTTTGCCCCTTTATGGCCCCTTATTCCTAAAATTTTGAGGCAATTACCCCCAAAATCAATCCCCGCCTTCCCTTTGTGGTATGGTACCTTGCAGTACAATTTCAGAGAGATCCATACACTTGAACACAAGTTATTGTCTGGAAACTAGAAAAATGCTTATTTTTGGCCCCTTTTTGGCCCCTAATTCCTTAACAGTTGGTACCATAACCCCCAAAATCAATCCCCACCTTCCTTTTGTGGTATTTAACCTTATGTTAAAATTTCATAAAGATCCATTCACTTAAACTAAAGTTAGAGTGCGAAAACCAATGTGTCTTCGGACGACGACGCCAACGTCATACCAATATACGACTGCAAAATTTTTTTGCGGTCGTATAAAAATTGCTGAATTTTTTCGTTTTTGTTCTCTAAATTTAGTTTGCCTCAACCAAATGTTATGAAACCTATACACAATGCTTATTACCACAAAACACAGATCAAGTTTGAAATTGGGTGGTGTCACTTTTACGGTTCTTGAGTTATGCCACTTTATAAATGGGAAAATTGCTAAATCTGTCATTTCTGTTCCCTAACTTTAGTTTGCCTCAACCAAATGTTATGAAACTTATACACAATGCTTATAATCACAAAACATGTGCATGCATATTTACAAGCATATCTGTGGCCCATAGACACATTCTCCATTTATTTTTTAATTGTTTGATTCTCAATTGCTTTTTAAAAAGAACTTTGTTTCCAAAGGGAATTTAAAAAAATAGTTTGTTTCCATTGAAAAGTAGGGGGACACAAAAGATATGACAGTAACTGTGTGTTATTAAAAAAATAGTTTGATTTTGAATACAGCAGAAGAAAATTGAGAAAAACCCATGCCCCACTAAAAGATAATTGGTCAGTATCTTTTGAGAGTTCATTTCTCTTTCTTATTAAAAGTTTAATCTACTGCAAAGATCTTATCATTCAGATTGCAAGCCTTGATCAAAATGATGTAAGTGTATTCTGAAATCATTAAATAAGTATTTCCTTACCTATGAAAATTTTCTAAACCAACTTAATGTTGTGGACACTGAATTGGTATAGGATGAATTCTTTCAATAGCTTCAGATCAAATTGTAATCCAGGTACCGGTTATTATCCTAAAAATCCACATTATATCTTGCTTTCTACATGAATTTTTCCAGTAGTTGTAAAAATACACCTGATTGTTTCAAATAAAAGTATCTTTTTACAGAGCCACATGATGCCAACATAAATATGATACCGAAAGACTATTTACAACGTGTAAAGAAAGTACATTCTGAAGGAGGATATGGATCTCAAGGGTATGGTCCTATACATAATTATTAGATAAGATAATTGATATTGGGAATAGAATTAAGATCAAAATGTATTTGAATAGTCTGTTATATTGTTATAAACTGGTGTGAAATAGCTAAGCTTGAAATCTTTCTATGAGAAATGTTTTTAAGAAATACATGGTCTATATTTCAAAAGACCAATAATTTTAATGCAATGTTTCATTTAACTGTTGCTATACGCTCTTTAATGCTAACTTGAAGAACAAATTGTCTTTTAGAAATTGAAGAAAAAATCAGTACCCTTTCAGTTTTGAAGACAAATTGGTTATAAATTAGCAACTGATTCATTTTTTTTCATGTATTCCAGGTACAAATATGATTGGAAAATTGAGGATTCCACAAAAAATATACTGAGAACTCACACAACAGCTGTCAGTGCTAGAATGCTGTATAAATTAGCTCAAGAGGTAGGCTATTTATAAATGTAGCATCATTGAATGGTAGCTAATGTTAATGGAAAATGAATCATAGCAGTTACTGTAAATTCAGAAATCATTGCGTGCATTAATTATTGCGAGTTCAACATGACAGATCAAAATGTGAGAATGATTACTGTAAATTCAGAAATTATTGCGTGCACTTATTATTGCGATTTTGTCATTTTAGACTTAAATGCGATTTTAATTTTTACTATTTTGAGAAAAATCCTGTTTAATTCATATAAAATATTTCAAAATGCGAGTTTAAATTATTGCGTTTACAACTCTGTCGCATTTTTCGCAATAATAAAAACCTCGCAATAATTTCTGAATTTACAGTATTACAATTATAGGAAAGGTTGCATACAAATATATGTGACAGATTATAAAACATGAGTTCTTATTTTTGCAATATTCTCCCAATCTCATTATAAGCAACAATAAAAACCTCACAATAATTTCCGAATTTACAGTAGAAGATTTTGAAATACTGTTTTATTTTTAAAGATGTTCATAAAGGTCGTATAAAAATAGAATATATTACTGTGGATTTATTTATTTTCGTGGATATTAATTATTGTGGATTGAGGAAATTTATTTTTTATTTTGTGGATGTGCTAAAATCTGCATACTACAAACATTTAAATTCGTGGTTTACCTATACCCATAATTATGAACGATCCGTAGTATTTTAAAGTATCTTTAAATGCAAAAGCCTTAACCGTTGAATGTAACAAAAATGCCATACTTATATGTGTCAACAATATAAAACAAAATTATATCTCTGATTTCATTGATTCTTGTCATTCAGGGCTGTATTCTTTAAAATAATTAATTATGCCCCCGCTGTAGCAGAGGCGGCATTATGTTTTACCCTTGTCCGTCTGTGCAACCGTCTGTACATCCATACGTCCCAAAATTGGTTTCCGTTCTCTAACTTGAGTTTGCTTCAACCAAATGTTATGAAACTTATACACAATGCTTATTACCACAAAACTCAGATCAAGTACGAATAATGGTAGCGTCATTTTACCGTTCTTGAGTTATGTCCCTTTACAACGTTATATGCAAGTGGGGCATCATCTGTGTCCCATGGACACATTCCCAATTTATTTTTTTAATATTTATATATTAACAAAAAGTGTTGGAATATTTCAGAAAGACTTCAAACCAGTGAAGTACTTTTCAATAGATAGGGTCTTCAGGAATGAGACAACAGACTCCACACATTTAGCTGAGTTCCATCAAATCGAAGGACTGGTTGCTGATAGAGGATTAACACTAGGAAATCTGATGGGAGTTATTAATGAATTCTTCAAAAAGCTTGGTCTGACTAAACTTCGCTTCAAACCAACATACAATCCTTACACTGAGCCAAGTATGGAGATATTCAGCTTCCATGATGGTGAGTCAACCATAACAAACACTGTCAACTTTGCAGGGGATAAACAATGGTTAAATAATCGTTAGACCATAGAGCTTGCTTGAAATTTTTCAAAAAGCCTTATCAAAATTTTCTAGTCTTTTTTCTTTTAGTATGTTAAATCATAATAAATATGGCCTTAGTTTGGAAAGGAGAAGAAGCTCAGACACTCAAATTCAAGCTTAAATATGAGAAATCTATCAAATATGCCATAAAAAGTCACTTTTTAGATGGTGTTTGTCTAAAATGTAAGTGTCCGCATTTGTGTTCAGTCTCAACCTTTATATATGTTATGTATTATCATCAACATACATTTAAGTATTTAGACTGAACTCAAATGTGGCCACTTCCAATTTAGACAAAAAACGTCTTAAAATTAGCTCAAATGCTAAAATTGTGAAGATTTCAGTAATTTTGCATGAATTTAATTTGCTAGTACCATGTGCATTGTATTGTTAAAAATAGCCCATATTTATGGAACAAAAGTATTCTCTTTTCCAATAAATAGCTAAAAGTTTAAATTTCAACAAATTTGTAAAAATGTTATATTTTGGGGCCAAAAAGGGGTCTTACCGAGTCTACTCCTTCGGCTATACTCTTACAAAAGTTATTACTATGGGGTTATCATATCCTTAAGAATTTAGTAAAGGTTTTAGGTACATGCAATTTATTGTTAAGAAATCCCAGACTCAATAATTAACCAGTTTTTACATAGATAACATTTATTTGAATTCAAAAACATCATTCCAGACATGGGCATTGCAAACAAGCTGGGATTTATATGCACTGTAAAGGGTTCTTTGTGTGTTTGAGCAAAAGAAATACTGTCAATCATTTTTTTTATGTCATCTCTTGAAATTTTATAAAAATCTGACAGCCTGTAAGTCCTACCTAGAATTCAATTTGTTTTAAAGTTTTGATTTGTTGTTCTTGAGTTATTGCTTGGTTGGTCAATGTGGGGCAGACATATTTAATAAAAGGAACAGACAAATTATGTTCTTATAGTGCGCCTGTTTATTAACATATTTACATCATAATATGTCTTAACCTAAACTGAACCTTGTGTTAACAGGAAACCTTTATAAGCTGAACTCCTGTATTCATGAATGTTTTAAGTAGTTTAAATTGAACACCTGTCTAATATGAACACTATCTGTAGTTTAATGTGCATATTAAATAGTGAACTTATTTGTGGATATCAGTCAGTATTTTGTCATATTTTAAAGGCTTGAAGAAGTGGGTAGAAGTTGGAAATTCCGGTGTCTTTAGGCCAGAGATGTTGTTGCCCATGGGCTTACCTGAAGATGTATCTGTTATAGCATGGGGACTTTCTCTTGAGAGGTAACTAATCATATACATAATAATACATAGTAAAGCATCACCATTTCCTCAAGACTCTGGTCTTTGTTTTATTGTACTAAATCCTCAATGATATTACACCACTATTTATTGCACTAAATTCTCTATGGTGTTACACCACTCTTTATTGCACTAAATTCTCAATGATATTACACCACTATTTATTGCATTAAATTCTCAATGATGTTACACCACTATTTATTGCACTAAATTCTCAATGATATTACACCACTATTTATTTCTTATAAAGGATAACACACTTCCATTTTTTATACACTTTGACCTTTTACTCTAGCCTTGATCGACATGGGTTAAGCTTAAACTAAGGTTAATATCTAATATCAATCATGTAGTTTCAGTGATATTTCAGCACTACTCCTTTTGTAAGGTTAACAGTACAATAATTTTGAGTTATGGAAAAGGTGTTATTATATTAACAGAACAAAAACTAGATGTCAGCATTTTGAAATGAATAAAGAGAAGATAACTCTTATAAAATGCTTTTAGAAAAATAAAGAATAATGTCATAATGTCACCATTCTTATTTTTCTGATTGGTAACAAAAAAGATAGATTTACAATTTTTATGCCCCCACCATAGCGGAGGGGCATTAAGTTTTATCCTTGTTTGTCTGTACGTCTGTCCGTACGTCCCAAAGTTGGTTTTAGTTCTCTAACTTTAGATTGCCTCAACCAAATGTTATGAAACTTATACACAATGCTTATTACCACAAAACACAGATCAAGTTTGAATAATGGTGGTTTCATTTCAACCATTCCAGACTTATGCCCATTTACAAATGGAAAAATTGCTGAATATTTCGTTTCCGTTCTCCAACTTAAGTTTACCTTAACCAAATGTTATGAAACTTATACAAAATGCTTGTAACCACAAAATACAGATCAAGTTAAAATGTTCGTAGCGTCACTTTTACTGTTCTAGAGTTATGCTTCTTTACAAATGGAAAAATTGCTGAATTTTTATACGACCGCAAAAAAATTTTTGGGATCGTATAATGGTATGATGTCGTCTGCGTCTGAGTCTGCGTCGACGTCCGAAGACACATTGGTTTCCGGACAATAACTTTAGTTTAAGTTAATGGATCTCTATGAAATTTTTTAAGAAGGTCCAATTTTTTTAAGGAATTCATATTTTTTTCAAAAATTTTCAAATTTCAAATTTTGTAAAAGTTTCAAGAAGTAATCTTCAATTGCACAGTATTGTGCAATAGATTTGTAAGATCTTTTACCACATTTATTTTGTATCAGAAATCTATATTATGTCAAAAATTTGATCACAATCAAAATTCAGACAGTATCAAGCTTGAATATTATATCCAAATTTGCCCCAACTGTTCAGGGTTCGACCTCTGCGGTCGTATCAGGCTGCTCTCAGCGAAGCATTTTATTCGTTTCTGTTCTCTAACTTAAGTTTGCCTCAACCAAATGTTATGAAACTTATACACAATACTTATAACCACAAAACTCAGATCAAGTACAAATTTGGGTAGCATCAATTTTACCGTTCTTCAGTTGTGTCCCTTTATAACTTTATATGATATGCAAGCGGGGGCATCATCTGTGTCCTATGGACGCATTCCCCATTTATTTCTGTAAAATAAATTATCTGAATTATCTCCCTTTACAAAGCAATTAAATAAAAATTCTGTATTTGTCAGGAAACAAAATGTTACTAAATACAAATATTTTTGTTGAAATAAATATTTGCTTATTTCAAAAAAATCTTGACTGGTCATATGTAATCCAAGATGGTGGAATACTTCCATTACACCTAAGAAAAATTATAAAGCTGAATGGTCATATGAGTGTGCATTATCAAATCTGTAAATTTTTAGGAATATAAGAAAAGTTGAACACCTGTAAAAAAAAATTAGTTGCATTGATTTTGTGATTTACTTAAAAATATTGAATTAATGAGAAACTCACATATATGTTATTATTTCAGACCAACCATGATAAAGTATAAGATACAGGATATCAGAACATTAATAGGACCTAGAGTAGATCTACAGATGGTTTATAATAACCCATTGTGTAGAGTGGAAAAGGCAGCAATCTAAATATATGACCTTAAAGCATGAGTCTTTATAAAAATTCAGACTGTCTCTAATTAGACATGTGTAATTAGGTGTGATGTATTATTGTCTTTCATGTATTAACATTTCATAAACTGAATTGTTAAGTTGTGTTTTGTGTTGCATACACAATGTTAACTATGTAAATATTTCTATATAATTTTCTAGATGTAAAGACAAAAAAAAAGAGTGAAATCGCTAATTCTGTATAAAAAATCAAGGAAAAATCACAAGCCAATGTCTTACATGTAATTATTGTGTTGAAATGTACCTACATCATCTTATTCCAATGACGGTAGAGAGTTGGAACAATTTTGACTGTTTTATCACTATTGATGTGAAGAATAGTAGAGATTAAAAACATTTCTTTAGATAATGGCAAATTTACATTCCCTTAGATTGCTTTATAGACCTTATCTTCAATTTGCTTTATGTAAGGGATTTATAGTATGTCACTGCTCAGTATAATGATCTATGCTGCTTGAGTAGAACTTCTTATTTTTTCAACCAGAACATTATGTATTGTACATAGACCATTTAGAATTCAAACAGAATATGTTGGTGATTCTCCAAGACTTCATTGAAACAATAAAATTACTCTTATTTGACATTTCTGCCAGATAACAAATCAATGTCATTTTACAAAAAAATTTAAAACAATTGTTCAAACAATATATTGAGTAATGTTTGGTTCCATTAATAAAATTGTTTTATGATAAGTTAACAGTATATTCATGGTAATTCTGTCTATAATTGATCTTCAAACTATAGTTGATTTGACATTTGACATTTGCAGTAAATATCTTAGCTGGTAAATTTCATTACTTATATTTTGTACTTTTTAAATAAACTGTCACTGATAGTACATTTTGGTGTAGTATGAATAAACATGTAGATATCTATATATATATTTATGCTTTTTATTACTGGAAAATTAAATGAGCTTGTTAAAGCTATATACTTAATGTCCAAAAGTTTAGTACCTTTTTTTAAATGGATAAACATCTTCACAATTATTATTTCTAGATCTGACGATTTTTTAGCCAAACAACTTTAAAAAATTTTGACAAATGTCTTCTAATATTAGGATTTTCACAAAAACTGATATATAGATGTATTAAGGATTTTCACAAAAACTGATATGTAGATGTATTAAGTTATTTCAAAGTGATTGACAAATTAAAAAATATGGTAAAAACTTACTGTTGGCTAACAAGAGTGGACACGCTGAAATGTCTCTCCTGCTTTACTGACCATTGATTTATATTGAAAGTCTTAAAGATAAAGGTTTTATTACAAGTATCACATAAACTTAACATTTTTAAAGATCCATGACAATGAGGTCATGGTCAGATAAATCGTGTCAGACAGACATGTACACCTTACAATTATTCCATACACGAAATATAGTAAACCTTTTGCTTATGGTATTTGAACAAGAGTGCACACGCTGAAATGTCTCGCCTACTATACTGACCATTGATTTTTGTCGAGCCTGTGACTTTTGTCGCAAAAGCGAGACATAGCGATCCTACATTCCGTCGGCGGCGTCCACAAATATTCACTCTGTGGTTAAAGTTTTTGAAATTTTAATAACTTTCTTAAACTATCCTGGATTTCTACCAAACTTGGACAGAAGCTTGTTTATGATCATAAGATAGTATCCAGAAGTAAATTTTGTAAAAAAAAAAATCCTGTTTATCCGTATTTTACTTATAAATGGACTTAGTTTTTCTGCCAGTTAACATTACATTCACTCTGTGGTTAAAGTTTTTTAGAATTTTAATAACTTCTTAAACTATCCTGGATTTCTACCAAACTTGGACAGAAGCTTGTTTATGATCATAAGATAGTATCCAGAAGTAAATTTTGTAAAAAAAAATCCTGTTTATCTGTATTTTACTTATAAATGGACTTAGTTTTTCTGCCAGTTAACATTACATTCACTCTGTGGTAAAAGTTTTTCAAATTTTAACAACTTTCTTAAACTATCCTGGATTTTTACCAAACTTGGACAGAAGCTTGTTTATGATCAAAAGCTAGTATCTAGAAGGAAATATTGTAAAAATTTATTTCCTGTTTTTCCGTATATTACTTATAGATGGACTTAGTTTTTCTTCCAGTTGACATTACATACAGTCTGCAGTTAAAGTTTTTAAATAATTTATTAGATTCATAAACAATCCTGGATTTTTACCAAACTTGGATAGAAGCTTCTTACAATCAAAAGATAGTATCTAGAGGAAAATTTTAAATAATTTTTTCCCCATTTTCTGTTGAGCCTGCGACTAACAGCAAAAGTAGGCGAGACACTGGGTTCCGCAGAATCCTTACGAATTTTTTATGTTGATAGTCCTACATATAAAGTTTTACTGCAAGTATCACATTAACATTTATTATCCAAAAAAATGAGGTCAAGGTCAGATAAACCAACCAAACACAGAATATAGATGACCTATTGTTTATAGTATAAAAGAATCATACCAAACCATGGAAATTCTATATTGACCAATGAACCATGAAAATGAAGTCAAGGTCAGATAAACCCTGCCAGACAGACATGTACACCTTAAAATCATTCCATGCATCAAATATAGTTGACCTATTACTTAAAGTATCCAAGAAACAAAGTTAACCAGGAAAACTGAACATTGACCAATGAACCATGAAAATGAGGTGAAGATGAGATGATACCTGCCAGACAGACATATACACCTTACAATCATTCCATACACCAAATATAGTTGACCTTTTGCATACAGTATTAGGAAAACAGACCTAAACACAAAAACTTAACATTGAGCAATGAACCCTGAAAATGAGGTCAATGTCAAATAAAACCTGCCAGACTGACATGTACATCATAAAATATTTCCATACACCAAATATAGTTGACCTACTGCATACAGTATTAGAAAAACAGACCAAAACACAAAAACTTAACATTGATCAATGAACCCTGAAAATGAGGTCAAGGTCAAGTAAAACCTGCCAGACTGACATGTTCATCGTAAAATATTTCCATACACCAAATATAGTTGACTTACTGCATACAGTATTAGAAAAACAGACCAAAAAACAAAAACTTAACATTGAGCAATGAACAGTGAAAATGAGGTCAAGGTCAAATAAAACCTGCCAGACTGACATGTCCATTGTAAAATATTTCCATACACCAAATATAGTTAACCTATTGCATACAGTATTAGAAAAACACCAAAACACAAAAACTAAACTATTACCACTGAACCATGAAAATGAGGTCAAGGTCAGATGACACCTACCAGTTGGACATGAACACCTTACAATCATTACATACACCAAATATAGTAGACCTATTGCTTATAGTATCTGAGATATGGACTTGACCACGAAAACTTAACCGTATTCACTGATCCATGAAATGAGGTCGAGATCAAGTGAAAACTGTCTGACAGACATGAGGACCTTGCAAGGTATGCACATATGAAATATAGTTATCCTATTACTCATATTAAGAGTGAAATTACCATTACAAAACATCTTAATTTTTTTTTTCAAGTAGTCACTGAACCATGAAAATGAGGTAAAGAAAAATTATCATATAAAAGACAGAAACTTCATTGCATAAGGCATCTATATATAAAGTATGAAGCATCCAGGTCTTCTACCTTCTGAACAGTTCAGCTTTTAAGTAATCAGTAAACGCTGCTGCCCACCGATCATTATCCCGGTCTCATTTTCTGCGACACAAGTCACAGGACAATAAAACAACGTATTTTTTTGTTCAAGATATCTTTTCAGATGACTTAATTTGATTTTTACAGTTTGTTTTCATGTTGTGTTGTTACTCTACTGAACCAGGTTAGGGAACAATGTAGAGTGCTAAAAAAGCATGTTAAACCCCACCACATTCTTATGTTCTTGTCCCAAGCCAGGAACCAGTGTTATCATGTGGCTGTCATTGGTTGCTGTCTACCATATTTGTTTTTCATTCACCCTTTGTAGTATAAATCTGGCTCTTCGTTTTAGGTTCTGTCATTCCAGGCTAAACAGTATTGGTATTGCTCATTGTTGAAGGCTATATGTTGACCTGGAATTGTTCACATCTCTGTCCTTTGATCTTTATAGTAAGCTTTCTCTTTGCAGTTCAAGTCAATTAAGCATAAAATTTCAATCAAAGCCAGAGGGTCCTTAAATACGATTTATGTGACCTTCACTTTATGGTACATGGGCAGACGTCAGGATAAATCAGCATACTTATTTATATATATATATTTTATCCACTTTATCTTAAAGTGGATTAGATAAAAATATAAAGTTGATGAGAACTGGCTATAGACATGCATAGGATCACAGAGATGTCAATGACCTTCAAAAAGTACCTTGTCCTGAATATGCATGAAATGTTTGTCACTAGAAGTCAAGTGCCAGTCTTTGTAAGAATCTTGCAATTTTGAAGAATTTCAAAACATGGCCAATAAAAAACAGCCACCCTTACCATCCTATTTTGAAGTTACCCTCATCCTGAGTTGGAAATTGTAGGTATTTCATTTTTGTGTGTCTGGTAATTCCAGAAATTTCTAGATAACTTTCGGTTAGAATCCTAGTTAATCACAGAGTTAGCTCCCCTTAATTGTTAATTTCTAGTGCATTTCAAATTATATCTTGAAATACCGGAACAGGAAAAGGAAAGAATGTTATAGTCATGCACTATTATACCTTTCGAACTTCAATTAATGTAAACTTGAGCGTGTTTTTGTTTGTCATGTTTTCGCCATTGCCTGATTCTTATGCAGATTTGTCTTTCATGTCTTAAGCCACAATCAATCAATCAAAATGATCTCCCCATAAAATCACTGATGCCAACTAGAAAGAAGGAAGTTTGTTTATTTGTTTTGGTACAGGCAGCATGACATCCACAGAAGAAGCTATTGTTTGCCAAGTCAGTGTTGTTGAAATTATTTTAGATATACAAAAAATGGCAATCAGCCAGCAACTAAACAACACAATGACCAAGAACATCTTTATATATAGGGATGCCTCTCTTAAAATCCATCATCATTCCAAAATTATAATTCTGTAGTATACTTGCAATTACTTCGTCTTAATCTAAATGAAACCACTAACTTTGGCAAATTACTGACAAATTTTCAGACATTTTTGCATCATGTGAAGTGCACTCATCGATATTTATATGTTACCAAGCCAGACTGGAACTCATGCCATAGTGGTGATAATGGCTTACAGATCTGTAAATATTTAAAGGTAGTTTTGATAATCTACTCAGACCACTTGAATGACTTGATTAGCCATTAAAATCTGCATTGGCTAAAAAAATAAAATTCAAAAATGAACATTCATCATTTTATTCCTTTCTCAATTTGTCACAATTCTAGCATGAGTCGAGTGATCAATAAATATATATGGGAAAGTGACCAGCACTCAAGATATTGGTTCTCAACTTCAATTTATTTGATTGAAAATCCATTTGTAAGTATCCAATAAAAATAATTTTGGTAAAAAATTAAATAGAGAATTAGAGACAACACAATTAACGCTTAAACAAGTAAAAATATATATCTATAGGAAAATTCTGTAACAGTAAAACCTGTTTCAAAAGTGAAATATTTAAAATAGGTTTGAAATGATTGGTTTTGTTTGTACAGATAATCTTTTATCTAAGTCAAGTAAATCTGATATGCATATTACCATCCAGGATCACCATAAATTCATTTTCCAAAATGCTGATCAATGCAAGGCAAGTGCTTTTTCTCAATGTACTTTTGCTTTTAAAAAAATAACATCAATTTCATTTAAAATTATACAGGTGCTGTTTCTATCATTTTATTTTCCTCAGATATTTGAACCATTATTTACGCTATTTTCATTTAAAATATTAAACTGAATATATATATATATGATAGAAGCGTACAAACACCAATGTTTTTGCTATTAATATAATCCAGTAAGAAATAACTTGTAAATCTGTTCTAGATTACAAATATCAAATATGATAAAAACAATATTCAAAGGTTGAGAAATGAAATAAATGAATTATCAAAAAATAAGTTTCTACAGAAGCTTGCTTAATTACTTTTAATTCATTTTAAACTAGAAAAGTAAATGTATGTCAAGGAATGTGTGTGATACATGTGAGCAATCCTTAATTTTGAATGGACAACGAACACAACATGAACACACATGTAATCACATGAATAAAATAGATTGTAAAATAACAGGAATGTACACGATAATTACCACAATGATCACACATAAAAATGTTAACACAACAGTAAACTTCTTAGTAAAGCTCAAAATATCAACAAAATCTGTCGTAACAGCTGTCTGGTTCAACTTCTCTGTACTCAACATTCACAATTAAGCCGTCAATGCCAAATAAAACTAGCTATTAAATACATATAGCTGTTGCTTGTTCCTTTCATAAACCCTTCTATATTTTTAAATGATTTAGGACTGGACTAAATATATGATTTACATTAATTACTCAAAAACCAAAATATAGGAGAAATGTATCCATAACAACCCTTTCATTAGCAGTAGTTGTGACAAAAGCATCCCTGGCAATGGTTACAGAAAACAAATTATACCACATACTTCAAATTCCAATAGTTAATTTTATTCTGGACAATTGTTTGGCTTAGGTAAGTCTCATTAAAAATAAAACTTTTTTGCTGGCTTGTCCAGTAACTCTAGAAAATTCATGTATGAAATGATAGTAAATCGGGCTACATTAGTGTATTGTGTTTTTAATAAACTCATAAAATTTAAATTTTTATTCATCCGATTTAAAACCACAAATGTTTTTCTATCTTGTTTTGTGCCATCTAGAACTAAATTTATATCGGAAATAATAACACTGAAGCTTATAAATCCTCAAATAAACCTATTTTATATGTGAATCTGTATTCTGTTTTTACTTCAAAAATAAATTTCTACACAAACAACTTCTTTCGACAAGATTTCATAAGGTCTATGACAGCATATCACAAAAGTTTTTACAATCAATTGGATTTAACCATGAATATAGTGTGGTTTCAGAATAAAACAATTTGTTCTCATATAATCATTAAACTGTAAGTTTTAAATTCATATTATTATTATTATTACCAAACTATAAAGATATAATTCATGTTTTCTTTCATTCAAATTTGCATTCAGAAATATTCTTGTATTTTAACCTCTCAGTGAATATACCAATAGGGATTATAATATTTTTTAAATTATATATTTGTGTATATGATAGTTTCAGAAAATCTGTCTTTAATTGCCTTATGACAGGTACAATGTATTAAACTGAAACCTCACGAAATATAGTTCTTGACATTTTATGTGCTACTCGGTAACATAAGAATCATGAATGTCAATACAAGACTGACAGACTGTTGAATACTATTATTGAAAGATTTTTGTTTGCTTAACATCCTGTGGAAAATGTTTTATGCATACTAAGGATGAATAGTTTTAAAAACATGTAAAAAGAGCAGAAAAGAAGGATGAACAAAATGATTTTATGCACTGAATGTAAATGTTCACATTTAGCTATCTCTATGATAATTTTTTTAAATAACTGTATTAGCTATAAATGATGGCTAATTAAAATGAGTGTCTCTGATGAAGTTTTTTTTTAAGTAAGAGAATTAAAATGTTTCCTAACTCAACATTATTAAAAATTTGCCTATCAACTACATCACTTCTTTCAAATCTCTTGAGCACTACGATAAATTCAAATCTAAAAACTCATAAAAACAGACAGAAACAGCCCAATGAAAATTATAAAAGAAAGGATTTCTTTAGCTGATGAGACAATTTTTTTTTCTTTAAGTGATATATATGAACCCTTAAAGAAAACTTCCCTTGCCATAATGGCATAAATATTTCAAAAATAAACAAATCAAGGCTGTTCAAACAAATTTTCAAATCCACATATTAAGACAATGGAGCAATTCAGAAATTCAATTTACGACCTTGTAAATTATGTTGCACAGTGTCACCATCCACATAAATGACGTCTAGACAAATAAGAACGTCCAAAAGATGAACGTTTTTCAATCATGCATCACTATTTCTGAATTGGTTCATTGTAACTTCTATAAAACAAGCTATTTCAATTATTTTTAGAGAGCTAATTATGCAAATAAATCTATGTACAGATATTTAAATACATATTTTTTTTGTTAGCCGATAATTAAATTACCAACTGTAAAAATCATAAATATTCGTTTCATTGTTGATGGAATTAGTCACAGCAATGAGACAATAACAAATGCAAAATTTCCACACATATATAAAACAGTTGGTCATAAAACAAACAATAATTCATAACAAATATCACAAAATTTAAATGAAGACCATATGGTCGCAAAAAACACTGAACTGTCAAAATTCTCTGGGACATATCAATTAACTCTGGGAGCACTATATAATGGTAGTTCCTAGTCTTTCATAAAATAAAATGAAAATTGTAAATAATAATTTTTACACAGACCTTAAACAAGTTTGATAATTTTCACTTCAACATCTTCAGAGTTTGTTTTATTTTCATTTATGGTTATAAAATGTAACTGAATAAGACAGGAACTGGATATAATTAAAGATATTCTTTTGTTAACATTTGCATAATTAAACTTTTATTTTCTTTTTACTTCTGAACTGATCAGGAATGCTATCGGTATCTTAACGAGGGTTTTGAGTATGAATATCAGGACTGTATCAATATAAATAATGCTATGCCCCACCGGTTAATTTTGACATATCTGGTAACATTATTTCAATGATAAAATTAACTATCTCTCTCCCATGTTTAAAATTGTTCACTGAATTCTTTGACTTCTGACTTGTTCAATCTTCCACTCTTTGCATCACTTATGGCACCCCATAAATCAAAGACAAAATCATCAGCAAATCCAAAATCTTTAATTTCTGATTTGTCGATTGCCATGGCGAAATCACTTGGGTTGTCTAGTTTGCTCCCCATATCCCATATTTGTTGTGCTGTAAAATAATAAAGATAATGTTCATTATAAAAAATTAAAACTGTGAGTGGAATCATAAAAGGAAACAAATGTTTGAATGTAATCATTGGGTGACAGAGATTTGAATAACATCACTTTCTGTGTGGCCTTTTCATTATTAAACAATAAAAGTATATCACATATACACAAGTATTGACAAAAAGAATCAATGAAACAGTTTCTCATGAGGTTGAATAATAAACCATTTCTGTACTGCCTGAATTGTTTTGAGTATGACGTAGATGGAAGCAAAATGATGACAATTGGTTTCAATTACCATAAATAACACTATATAGTGGATTTTCCAAGTAGAAACAAGAACATGTGACCACAGGACACATGCCCCCCCTCGCACTATCATTTTCCTTGTTCAGTGAACTGTGAAATCAGAGTAAAAATTATAATTTGGCAAATAATTATAAAGTTCACATCATTATGAACATGTGTACTAAGTTTCTAGTTGATCTGACCAGTCTCATGCAGATCCATGGATTTTGAAAAAAACTAAACTAAAATTAGTGGAAGCGGTAAAAAATCTGGATCAAACATAAAGTTCCATAAGGGGGGCCCGGGCACCCCCCTTAATCCGCCCCTGCTGACCACACCTTCATGGTATACTACCTTAATAAATTCCTTATCTTGAGAATGTACTATTTACACACTACCACACCAATGAACTGTGAAATTAGGATTGTAACCGTATTTGACATCAAATTTAAAAAGTTCACATCATAATGAACATATGAACTTAGTGAGTCCCCAACTTCAACACAAATTACTGTGACAAAAAACTTTATCCTGATACGGGAGGGACGAATCGAATAAAACACGGACCAGAAAACATAATGCACCACTAATATTGTAGGTGGGGCAAAAACATGTGTACATTTTTGTACTTTTTTATCTTACCTAATTCTGTATCATTTATACCCATGAATGACTCTAATAAACCATTGATCTTGTCTATAGCTAAATCTGAAGAATCGTCAACCTAAAATAAGAAAAGTACATTAAAATGTACCAATTGTATATATAGCTACCAAATCATACTGAATCTACTGCAGTCAGTAAACATTACAAACTCACTTATTTACTTGAGTAGCAAAAAACTGTTCAGTTACAATTACTACATGTAGAAAGCGAAAATGCAGTCAATTTTTTTAAGTCTCCTTAAATAAATAATATATATAGGCTAACTTTAAACACATAACATGTACATCTGTAGTTTTAATCACATTCCAATAGTTGCTGCTAATGAAACAGGAGCCATGTTCATCGGGACATATAAAGATTTATAATTTACCATATGTACAAAACTTCTAAATCAATGTGCTAACAGCTTCAAAGATCATCATATACATAAACTTATACTCATACAGATAATAAATATATAGTTACATTTTTTGCTTCTGAGTTTTACATGAAGACAAAATTTACTCAAATGCACAAAATGTATGTGTCTTGGCTGTATCAATATACTTATGGAATTACCATTAACATATATGAGATAAGTGTCACTTATAAAGTATTGGGAAAAGTTATATGGGGTGGTTGTCAATGAGACCTCCTGTATACTGAGCTAGCTGAACTAAGAGAATTGATACTGGGTACTTTGAATATGATAAACTAAAAATATAATAATCCGCAGGCAAGAGTGAACTTTTTGGACAAAACCTTTTCATAATACATTCATTTAATGATAAAAAGGGTTTGTGCATGGTAGGTAGATTTGTGTTCATTATATGAGGGAGTTCATACAGCTTTGTCTGCATCAGTTTCATTTAATTCTTCATCAGAGTTGGAACTCTAAAATACATTTTTATCAAATATCTATTAAAACTGTATATTCAATTTTAGATGACAAGTAATGGAAAGATGATGTGAAGTGTTTCAGTCAATATAAAAATAAGAAGATGTGGTATAATTGCCAATGAGACAATTCTCCACGACCAGAGACCAAATGACAGAGACGTTAACAACTATAGGTCACTGAACGACCTTCAACAATGAGCAAAACCCATACAGTATAGTCAGCTATAAAAGGCTCCGAAATAACAAGCATGGTTTCATGAAACCAATAATGTTTGTCCAGTACAGTTGACCTTTATAGTTTCAACTACATGTATTCATTTATGTCCCTATTAAACACATACATTACTCATTGTGTTTTCTAGATCTTTGACTTCAAAAAAGTTGGTTCTAACTTCTAAGCATGGACAAATTATCAGAGGATTGGAGATTTAAAGAGTTTTTCAAAATTCAAGTTGATGAATAAACATGTGGGAAAGTAAATATTTTGTCAAACTTTTCTAATGAAATGTTGACATTTTAAATACACTCAAAATAGGTAAAACTTAGATTTTGGAAAATTTTTACCAAATTGGATTAATCAAAATTGAGCCTAGGAACCATAGAGCCTAGGGTTTGACACCTTAATATTCAAGTCAGATATGTTATTTGTTATAGAAAACACAAGGTTACATGATCTATTTGTGGATGCATATATATGTGTCCTGTCCTGAAAACTAATTGAAAGTTGGCCTAGCTGTTTTCATTGAAATTTTGGTGAGAAGTTGATGCTACTTAATGTGACATCCTAAAAAGAACACTGATACATAATCTTCACAATGGTCATATTTTCTATCTAGTCATTGTTTTAACTATGATTCCCATAAGAGCCATTAAATCCTAATTTGTTTATAATTATAAATAGGAGCCATATTGGAACCTAATCGAACATACTCCTTTATTATGTTGAATTTATCATGTGTAATTAACTCCCTTTAATTTTTTTTAAATGACTTGCTTGGCTTATTTTATCATGCATAATCCACATAACTCCAGAATTTTTAAAAAGCAAATTAAATACCATGACTTTAATCTGATAAACAAACATCATTTTACATGAACATGTTTAAACTATATGGTTCAGTAAGTTATCAATGTTAAATCAATTTTAAAGTTCTCTTGAAAATCATCTTTTACAAATACAATGGCACATTTGCTAATTTTAAATGTCAATTTTATTTGGTGTTCATCAACAATCAAATGAACAGAAGCTTTCTATTTTAATAATGTAACTGACATTCAAGTGTCATGGTACAAAAACTTTAGACAGTAAAAAAGTTCAAGAAAAAAACTAGAAACTATATTTTGTTTCATAAACCTATCTATACATCTCTGGTTTCAGGAAGTCAATAATAGCATGATGATGTTCACAACCAAATTACATTTTATCTTGAATAAAAGTCACATTTTTTATTTTAAAAAGTCAGGCGATGAGAAATCAAATGATTTTTTAACATGAACAGTGAAAAACAAAAGAAACGAATTAAAAAATCATGGTTCATATGTTGCCCTCTAGATTTTTTGGGGTTTTTTTGCTGTTGGGCTGTCTCATTGATCTGAATTTCCTATTACTCACATTCATAAACTGTAAATTTGGATGTAATTGATTTCTTTCATTTTAGATTCTGTAGATCATGTAAAGCTACTGGTACATGCATGTAAAATATTTTAAACACATACAGTTTACTGAGTAATACAGAACAACTTACATCTTCCACTGTGGCTGGACCTGTTGACCGTAGTCGTAATGTCTGTTTTCCTGAACCTATACTACTACTGCCCTTTTTACTCTGCTTTTGTTCAACAAATGCTATAAAGGAGTTAAATTTTAAAATCAACTGAAAAGTCTCATGTGCATGCTAAAATTTAATAAGACAAAATAAAGAAATCATTTTAACTGAAAGTAATATATGTAAAATGTACACAGAGGGTATAACATAAAATCCATGCATGTTCATACATTGTACATGTGTTATTTTGAACCTGTTTAATAATTAGTTTTTTATTTAGTGTGTTTGTTGCTTTATTTGTCAGTTTCTTGTCCGTCTACTGATCATTTACTGTAATAATATATGACCTTCATATTTCAGACTTTTATGAGATATATTATTTTTGTTTCTATGGAAACCCTTCTGTTTTCCAATCGTCTAACAATTTACACAATGTAACATAATCTGTTCGTGTAATTTTAAGAATGTAACAAGTTCACTGGCAGTTGGTCTTCATTGGATTGACTGTCTAGGTGAGGATTTAATACATTTGTAGCACAGATAATTGTTTGAATGAATCTCATAAAACCAGGCAGTTCTATTACATGTACACTTAAAATTATCTTAATCATTTATTTTTTAGTACTACTTTTCAAATTAACAAATTATTTTTTCACTTCCCCTCTGAAACCTACTGTCTTTTAACAAGAAAATCAAAATCCAACAATTTGAAAATAGATGAAGGATTGGTGCCTTAGAAGAACAGGTTTATATTCTATTATTCTTTAGTATGGACATCTTTCACATGTCTTAAAATTTATACATCTTTTTCGTTGATCTTCTCCATGCAACTCTGCTATCAACAATTCTATCATGATCAAATAGGGAAAAGACAGGTATTCTCTTTGACCATTCATGGGTTAAATATCAGTTTACCTTTAATTTAATTGCAAATTTCATAGTTTGCTTTAATTCATCCATGAAAATTAATGAATGATGACATGTCTAACTAGCAGATCTATCTCATGATGAATTGTGTTACAATTATTACAGAAATAAATTCATCAATAGCATGTAAAAAAACAAGCCTTTTATCATCTTGATACATGAACTTTAAAAAGACAATTTATCATCTGGTTATACAAGTCAGGTGACACTTGTGGAAAAGGAACTGCTTAACCCGTCAGAGCATCTTATTTGGCTTTTGGGTGTTTGTGGTTTTCATGAAAAATGTAGTTTAATGTTGACGGCTCTATGTAATATCATTTTTAATGTTGACTGCTCTATGTCATAACATTTTTAATGTTATTTGTCAGTTTGCATTACATATTGCCATGGTTTTATCATCCCTTCTGCAAGTGATGATTTTTCAATTGTGGGCCTATTTTCTTAAAAGTTGGGGTTGCACAAAATGCAGAAATAGTCAACATCCATGCATCTGGATAGCGCTGTAAAATTTATATTGATACATAATATTTCTTCCAACATAAATTAAATGCAAATAACTGTGAGAACTTGTATAAAAAATACAGTTGGTTGCAATTGCCCAATTAATGAAAAACCTATAGTATATATTCATGTACTTGATAAAAACATTTAAAATATACAACTTCACTGCACTGACAATAGAAAATAAATAAACAAAATAAAAACTAGGTTTCCATACTTCACAACAAAACCATAAAAACACAAATTACCCAACAAGTCCGCTGCGTGCAACAAAAACAATGAAAATAATCCTTGAACTCTTTTCGGAATTTATTTCCTCAATTTTTAGCAATTCAAACTACAAATTTATTTAATCCACAGTGCAGAAAATGTTAGTTACATATCAAAGTTTAATTACATGAATACAAAGGAAATATTTATTGAAACATTCATACATCCCAAGTTTCCTTGTAAATATAAATAGCTAATGTCATTTACACAAAAGTACATTTTACATACATTTATTTCTATATACAAGGAAATCAGGAAAAAACTTACATTTTAAAAACCTCCCTATTCAGGGAAACCATTTTACCATGATGTGTACAAAAGATTTTATTTAGTATATTAAATAAACTAAACATTATATATGTACTTACAAAATCCTGACTTCATTGGTTCCACAACTCGAATTGTAAAAGTAGTTCCTTTCTGAATTTCTTTTAACATTTTTGCCACTTCAAAGTGCCGACATCCAACCAAACTTTTACCATCTATTTTTTCTATATGATCACCAAGACTAACAAGTGGACATTTGTCCATAATACTATTTTCTTTTATCCGTTTAATAAATGCATATCCTGCACCATTGTCTGTGATAGTAAGTCCAAGAGCATCCTCAGATTTTGTGACCTCACACTCTTTTGGTTGACCTCTTACATGAGCAAAAATGAAGTCTTCTAATCCAATTTGACCTCCCAGAAGTCGGGACATATCTACTTTATGTGTATTTAACGTACAAAATAAAATCTGAAAAGAAAATTAGAACTTACAGTTCTATTTTATTTTTCAAGCAATGGCATACTATATTTCAGGAAGAATTTGCCATCAAACGATTTGTTGTATTTGAGAAAATTAAATATGAAGATGTGACAGTGACCATGGTGACAGAAGATTCTACTATTTTATGTTTACACTTTATAATGGTTATCCAGGGAAATGAACACCAAACTGAACTCAGAAACATATAAATGAACCAAAATTAAAAAACACACAAGACCAACAAAGGTCTGAGGTTCCTGACTTAGGACATGCGCAAAAATGCTGGTTTAAACAGGTTTTGTGAGATCACATGTACATTCAATACACCTACACCCCCCCCCACACCTCCCCCCCTCTTGTGGGCCTAACACACCCCCCCCCCCCCCCCCCCCTCCCCCCTCCCTCTTGTGGGCCTAACACCATATATTATGAATTTTAATTTGTTTAATTTTGGAGTAACAGTGCAATTTCAAATCCCATGGCGCATTTAGAAATGTATAAAGGTTACAATGTCCAATACAGTTCTGACTGTATAACTACTTATGTAAAACACACCAGGAGACCCAAAGACAATCAATATACGACAATGCTGTAAGTAGAGATGGTTCTTTAATTAACTACATTTGTACAATGTAATTATGACAAAGACAGAAATCATGAACTATCAATTTCTCAATAACTCAAAGTAAACTTATTCTTATAAAGAATATCAGAAGCATAGACACATTCAACACCTAACAGGGGCGGATCCAGCCATTTTTTAAAAGTGGATCCGCCACTGCCTAAGTAGAAAGAAGCACTAAGTGTAAGGGTTAAACAAGTATGAGAGTTTTTAAGACTTCAAAATGACTAAATGACAAAAACACACAATATGATATTTTGCTTTTATTGCTTTTTGAGTTGTTGTCACATTGACATTATGTCATTATAACCTACATTTCAATTCAACATACATCGTACATGTAAAAAATATATGTATAAATTGAATGCTATAATTTGAACCTCACCTAATCAAATACATATTTAGATAAGTAGTTTCTATTGCCATAGAAACCTATAATAGATAATAGTATATAATAATATACCCAGACATTAGATAGTTATGTGTATATTTTTGTTTCAGCATAAATCAATATATAAATGTATTGGAATTTTGGCCCAGACAGTTAAATCAAAAATTTTCTATTTCTATTATCTTGATTATCATGATTATTCAATGCACACAATATGCAGACTAAAATTATACGAATCATAGAATAACTCGTCCAACAATTCAAATATATAGAAAAATATTCAAAAAGTGACTGAACAACACATTATTTTATGAATGTGAGAAGTGCATGAGTTAATTATCGTGTTGTTTCAACACATGTTTCCAAATTCTTGGATTAGTTTTTCTATAATTCATTTTTAGTGTACATGTTGTGGGCATTTAATAATCACTGTCTTAAAGTAATATCTGTTATATGATATAATAATGTCAGTAAGTATTTATGTTTGATACTTTCATATTAATGGTAGAGGATGGAGGTTACCAGTTTCACTTTTCACTACTTTAAAACTCTTTGAAGCACAGACTACGATTACACAGATAAAGGAATAAATAAATTTGTTGCACCATCTCAAACTACATCTAATGTACATCCTGTTGACATTCACCTGGTATATTACACTAAATCCATTTGAGATTCACTGATTGATATTTTAGTCTGGGAAAGCATGGTCTCACCCAGGGGCATAGCTACCCGGAGGCACGGCAGCACGTGCATCAACGTCGTTTTCACAAACAAAAAAAAAAAACCAAAAACAAGTATGTAGGCCTTGACAACACGAATAGTTCATTTTCACATCACGTCAACGTATCTCGTCCTGTGTGCATGTAATATTTGCTACCGGAATAATATATCCATTCAATCAATCAATAGTTTTTGTATACTAGTAGATGAGAAGTTGGAGCTGCTGTTATTATAAAAAAAGTACACATTTTCCAGTACATGTATTACGTTTTAATTTATTTTACAAAAAAAATCTTTTATATAGATTCGATAATTCGAAGTTGTTTCTATATGGGCCGGCTATACGAATGGTTAATTGTAAAAGCATTTAAATCAATTGTTAATTCTAACTCGTTTTATTGGACTAAAAGTTTTAGGTCATTCAATTTTAAAAAGAACTTTCTGTCCGAGTCGGACACTAAACTGCTGATTCTTGTTCGAAAGATACACCAAATTTTTATTACACGTATCTTTACTGTTATCATCTAGATATTGCCATACAACTGGTCGAATGCATATGTTAATTAGCTGGCTAATTAAAGAACGCAGATCATGAAAAAGATCGTGATCAAAGTACCATTTCCTCTGAAAAAGTTCATTAATTTCAACTTCGAATATTCCTAACTACGTAAAATTCGAAATTCCCATCTCTCTCTTGTAGAGTTTACCCACAAAATTTTTAAACATCTAAATACATATGTTAAGCAAAATATATGAGAATGTGTCCACCAAGTATTTGGTATCCAATGATTTATGCTAACAGAAACTCCACATATAGTATTGTGTTTATGTTTGTTGTTTGTTTTTTTAAATCTACTTTGCTTAATACAAATACTAGCATATGGAACAAATCTCCGTGATTTTAAAAGCTTTCATGTACAAAAAATGCAAACGACAATGTAAGGTCTTCATTCGACTCGAAGTTAAACAAATAGTTGACCAAAAAACCACAACAAAAATGTCCAAGTTTTATTTCGGTTGTGATTGTTTTGAAACGCTATATATGCGGAGCTTCCGGGGGGTAGGGGCTTCGCCCCCCTGGCCCCCTACCAGGGCTGTGCCCTGGACCTACTGGGGGCCTTACGTGGCCCCCAGACCCCTCGCCCTTAAGTTTTTGATTCCACTTCATTAATAAGATAGCTACGCCCCTGTCACCTATTAGTTAAAATTTGCCTTAAAACTACATTTTGTAACTTACAGTAACTGCCAGCATACTCTTCCGTTGAATCTTTGTGTATTCTATTTATTTGTTTTTATACAGATCTGATGAGTCATGCACTTTCCAAATGACTTTTACAGTTCCTTCTTATGTTACACTACTGTCCTAAGTTGGGGAGAGGGTTGAGTGATCACAATCAAGTTCAACCTCGCCACATTCTTTACTTGCAGCCTTTGAATTGTTTCACATTTTTTTATCCTCAGACCTTTAATAACTTGACATAAGGTATGGGTTTTGCTCAGAGTTGAAAGTTGACCTGTAGTAGCTTTCACCCATAAAATTGATTAGTGTCTTGAGTGGATAGTTTTCTCATTGGCAATTAGACATCATCTTCTTATTTATCATTTCCAGAATGCAACAACTTCAAAATTATTAAATCCAAGGTTCAAATGTTGAAAACTATAGATATAAAAGGTACAATATTATATGTATGCATTTCGACTGAACTTCAAGTCTAGTTTGAACAGGTCAAGAATAACCACCAATTGGTGGATTATACCTCAATTGACGTATAATCCACCAATTGACATATATTGGTATAGACCAATTGACGTATAATGCAAGTTTTTTGTTATAAAATGCTAGTGTGAGATAGGAGCATCATTTTGCAACTTACAACCTATTTTATGACCATTATTGAGTCCTCTGAAAGTTTCAGTTTTGTCAAAGCCTGCTGCATCTCTTGAGAATGCATGTGTACAACAATTCTTTTGTTGAAACATCTGTACTATTGACCATGATTGACTCTTAATAATGAAAGTCAAGTATTAACAAAGAGCTCCATTCACCTGTGGAGTTGTACTCATAATCACATGACTACAGACAGTATTGATGTCCATTGACAGGTCATTAGTCGTAAATTTGCCAATCAAGAATTGACAAGATAACAATAGAAGAAACTGCAAATACAATTATTGATTAAATGCAATATGTTATGTCACTATACTAAACTAGGAATGTTTGACATGTTTTCATACAATAATATGGTTTTAAGAAAACAATGCTCCATTTTGGTTGAATAATTTGCTTTGAAAAACAAAGAATTATACGTCAATTGGTCTATACCATTATATGTCAATTGGTGGATTATACGTCAATTGAGGTATAATCCACCAATTGGTGGTTATTCCTGACCTGTTGAAGCACACTTATTTTCGTTTCTAGAAATTAACAAGCCATTCATTGTCAATAAAAGTTCTGTTTGTTTTTATACCCACCATGAACAATAACGATAAAACAAAATGAAAACATACTGGGGTATATACAGACACCAATTACTAAAACAACAGTTTACATGTGAAGTTAATAAAACAAAAACCACGTGACAGACAGTGACAACACACAACAGAAAACAAGATAAACTGAGATTGTTCATTTTATTTCTACATGTAAATATAGAGTTTGTTAGGGTCCAAATTTATTTTAGGCCGAGATATGGAGCAGGCCAGCATTCTCAGACGTACAGTCTAAGAAAATGATAATTTAAAAATAATTGTAAAATGGCCTGTGTTTATCTTGTAGAGTTTGATACAGGGCTGCCAAGTCTCATGCAAAATTAATGGAGACGCACACATTTTCATGCTTATTTGGCGGTATTTTCCTTTGATCCATTGTTTTTTCTCTTTGATCTTTACAATTTTGGCCAAATCTCACGCCTTTGCTTCATGAAAACTTGGCAGTACTGTCCATAGTCTCTCCCAGACAACAATTTGACATAACAAACTAACTAAAGTTTATTTACCTCTGAAACTGGCATGTCATAGCAATCAGCTATTTTCTGGTACAATTCTTTTACGTTTGTAAACCCGGAAATAATTCCAGTTGGACTGCCATGAGCTTGTTGACAATGAAAAACAAGCTTTGGTCTTGGTGGTTGTGGTGGAGTGTCATTCTTCTGAACAACTGGTGGCTGTTGTTTCGATGTACCATTTGTTTCAGGCACACTGTTGGTTTCTGCTGCTGGGCGGGGCAAATCATTTTGCGTGGAATTTTGTGTATAATCCGCTATATTGTCCTTACTTTTAGACTTCTTACCGAATATTTTATGCATGTTAAAGTATAAATGTATATAAATCACTGGTATTGGTTATTTTAAGCCAGTCTAAGCATCAATTAAAGCTATATATTCCTTAGTTATATTGGTTTTTACACCTTTGTAATGTGACATAGGTAAAGCGGAAGTTATACCTGACTATGGGATTACATAGTCGACTACGAAAAACGTCATTTCCGGTTCGACTCAAAACGATTGAACCTACCTTCCTCTTCATATTCTTTATTGAAGCTTTATTTTGTTAATATATATGAAGGATAAAACAGAAATCTGATGCTCTTAAGATAAGCAATAAATTGAAACTTCAAAAAAATTCGAAATCCATTTTTGACATTATCATTTCAGTTCTCATTTACCTGAATCTTTTAATTTGTTGTGATTAATACTCCCAGTAATCAAAAGCTATTGATTATTAAAGACAGATGTAACTAGCTAATTACCAGATGTTCAAAATATTATATTACACCCCCCCCCCCCCCCTCCTTTTTTTTTTACAAAATCCTTGAAAAAACAGACAAAATAAAAGAGGAAAATAAATATGTCGGGAAATTTTGTGAAATAAGGGAAAAGATGTCATGTGTGCAATCAAAATCTATACAGAAGGTCTGATAAAAAGATATCACAATAACAAAATTAATATGAACGACGAAAAGTTATCCCCCCCCCCCCCCCAAAAAAAACATGAATGACGGGGCGGATCTTAATTAGGGAAAAGGTAAAATAACAAAAATACCGAACGCCCAGGAAAATTCAAATGGGAAAGTCCGTTATCAAATGCCAAAATCAAAAGCTCGAATGGAAAACAACTGTCATATTCCTGACTTGGTACAAGCATTTCCTTCTGTAGAAAATGGTGGATTAAACCTGGTTTTATAGCTAGCTAAACCTCTCACTTGTATGACAGTCGCATAAAATTCCATTATATTGAAAAAAAAGGGGGAAAACAAAACAAACAGACATAACCCTAATAGGTAGAAATTTCAAAAATAGGGGAACAGGGAACCCGTCATTTTACATATTGCAAGTAAAATAAAATGCTCCGCAGGGCGCAGCTTGATACGACCGCAGAGGTCGAACCCTGAACAGTTGGGGGAAGTATGGACACAACATTCAAGCTTGATACAGCTTTGGATTTGGATTGTGATTAAATATTTGACACAGCATAGGTTTCTAACACAGATTGAATGTGGTCTAAGAACTTAAAAATTTTAAATTGGACATTCACCTATTATGGTCCAATATCCAAAATCTAAATACATGGTTAGATTCAGCATATCAAAGAACCCCAAGAATTCAATTTTTGATGAAATCAAACAAAGTTTAATTTTGGACCCTTTTGACCTCAATGTGGACAAAGTTGATAACGGGGCCCAAAAATCAAAAATCTAAATACATGGTTAGATTCATCATATCAAAGAACCCCATATATTCAATTTTTGTTGAAATCAAACAAAGTTTAATTTTGGACCCTGATTTGGACCAACTTGAAAACTGGGCCCATAATCAAAAATCTAAATACATGTTTAGATTCAGCATATCAAAGAACCCTAGCTAAGAATTCATTTTTGTTAAAATCAAACTAAGTTTAATTTTGGACCCTTTGGACCTTAATGTAGACCAATTTGAAAACGGAACCAAAAATTAAGAATCTAAATACACGGTTAGATTCGGCATATCAAAGAACCCCAATAATTCAATTTTTGATGAAATCAAACAAAGTTTAATTTTGGACCCTTTGGACCTCAATGTGGACCAATTTAAAAACGGGGCCCAAAATCCAAAAACTAAATACACGGTTAGATTCAGCATATTAAAGAACCCCATGAAATCAAGAATAAAACCCCATTGAAATTGGTCAAGAAATAAGCAATTTATAGGAAGTATCTTCTTTTGCACAATCCTGTGCTATTAAATATTTCTTGCTATTGCGCAATACTGTACAATTGACAATTTCTTGCTATTGCGCAATATTGTGCTATTGGATATTTCTTGCTATTGCGCAATACTGTGCAATTGAAGATTTCTTGCTATTGCGCAATACTGTGCAATTGAAGATTTCTTGCTATTGTGCAATACTGTGCAATTGAAAATTTCTTGCTATTGCACAATACTTATTATATAATAATTTACACATCCTGTTTGGTGTGTATCTCCTACCATATCATTATTATTTGATTTTAAATATAAATCAGAAATAACCAACTTAAAATGGAAAATTTTAAAAGAAACAAAAAAGGAAAAAAAGAAAAAAAATGAAAAAAAAATAAATCCCCCCCCCCCCAAAATTTATTGAACCCCCATTATGATTCATCACCCCCAAACTCAATCCCAGCCTTCCCTTTGTGGTATGGTACCTTGCAGTACAATTTCAGAGAGATCCATACACTTGAACACAAGTTATTGTCTGGAAACTAGAAAAAAATGTGTTTTTTGGCCCCTTTTTGGCCCCAAATTCCTAAAAGTTTAGGGCAATTACCCGCAAACTCAAAACCCAGCTTTCCCTTTGTGATATGGAACCTTGTAGTACAATTTCAGAAAGATCCATACACTTACACACAAGTTATTGTCATGAAACTAGAAAAATTCTTGTTTTTTGCCCCTTTTTTGGCCCCTAATTCCTAAAATTTGGAGGCAATTACCCCCAAAATCAATCCCAGCATTCCTTTAGTGATATGGAACCTTGTGGTACAATGTCAGAGAGATCCATACACTAACACACAAGTTATGTCTGGAAGTTACAAAAATGCTTATTTTTGGCCCCTTTTTGGCCCCTAATTCCTTTACTGTTATTACCATAACCCCCAAAATCAATCCCAACCTTCCTTTTGTGGTATTGAACCTTGTGGTAAAATTTCATAAAGATCCATTTACTTAAACTAAAGTTAGAGTGCGAAAACCAATGTGTCTTCGGACGACGCCGAACGACGCCGGACGACGACGACGACGACGACGACGACGCCGGACGACGACGACGACGACGCCAACGTCATACCAATATACGACCACAAAAATTTTTTTGCGGTCGTATAAAAATCGGTAATAAGTTGCATTCGGTGATGTCAAATAAACAAATACTTTCATTTTCAAAAATAATATAAAAGCAAAATAAAAAATAAAGGGTTAAACAAAGTATAACATGATTGGATTTGATTTAATTGATTAACAATTAATATCAAAGTAAATGAGATAAGAAATATGAAAGGACTGTGAATACGTCGGACTAGTTGAATCATCATATCTGTGGTCGTCTGTGCCACATCCATAACCGAGCTAACCAATTTAAGCCATGATAGCGTCCCTAATACTTTTGAAGAGATTACTTTATCTTTATCGTTTGGAACACAGGAGCTTAGGGAATGGACTCCCCATCGTAAAATTAAAAATCAGTAGATATTATTGATTATTTTCACCTAATTGACGTGTGCTTGCTCTTATCCACACGATATTACAATTACACTAGTTTATAAAATTTTGACCCTCTTTTATAATGTGGAAAATGATAATAGAGGGTAAAATTTATATCATGAAACTAGTGATATTGTAAAGTCGTTTGAATTTTAAGCCTGGTATGTATGATGAGTTTATCATATGGATAAGAGCAATCACACATCAAGTAAGTGAAAATAAGTTAAAATACTTCAGAAATTTACTAAATTTGATTTAGAAAAAAGGGCGTCCATTCCCCCAAGCGCCTGTGGTTTGGTACCCAAGGTTCAATATAATTGTAAACAGCAACCTTCCATCAAGGAAATTATGATAGGAAAGGCAAGCCCTAGAATATTATTACCCCGTATCAACTCCATGGGAGATATATACTGTGTGTGCACTGAACCGCTATTGAAATGCTACACAGGAATATAAAGTTCACAATGGCAAAACTGAAATCATCTCTTTTGTTGTAATGTTATATCTTAACCGATCCTCATTGTCAATCACTCTAGATGTAAGTCAATATATGAAGCAGACTTAACTGTATCTCTGATATATCCTTTAATTTCGAACCCAATGAGATAGATGCGATGTACTATAGTCAACAGACTTTGATTTATCCAATGAAAGGACATTATTTATATATTATAACGAAACATAAGGTTTAAGGTTGATGCCATGCACCTTTTTTTAGTTTTTCTTCTGGAGCTCCTGTAAGGTGTCTGCGCATAAGAAAACAGGAGAAAATCGATAAGAAGAGGAACATCGTTGTCTTTTGCATGGTTGCATGTGATAAACTCTAATAATAATTGTTTACTTTGATATATATATATCGCAACACCTTAGAACCACCTACCGAATGTTTAGTCCAGCTGCTCACTCTTGTTCTGAAATGCAACAATTTCACCTTTAATGGTGAACATTACCTTCAGATAAACGGGACAGCGATGGGGACGAAAATGGCACCGTCATACGCCAATATTTTCATGGGAAAATTAGAGAAACAAATTATTTCAACATCTTTATCCAAACCTCTGTCTTGGTTCCGTTTCATCGATGATGTTGACATTAAATGGATTGAATCCCAACAAAAATTGGATGATTTTATCAGACATGCAAATAACGCACACCAGTCAATTAAATTTACATATGAAATTTCCGACTCCAAAATATCTTTCTTAGACACTACTACATCTATTAAGGACGGTGTCATATCAACAGATCTCTACTGTAAACCTACAGATAAACATCAGTACCTTTCTCCCCAAAGCTGTCACCCCAAACACTGTACAAAAGGTATCCCGTACAGTCAAGCTCTCAGAGTAAAGCGTATTTGCTCCTCTGAGGAGGCTATCACTAAACGGTTACAGGAATTTAGCGGTTTTTTTTACCAAACGAGGTTATAAGAAATTGGACATAGATAAGGGATTTGCGCGTGCTAATAACAACAGCCGCAATGCCCTATTACAGTACAAACAGAAGAGGCGCAGCAAAATAGTTCCGTTTGTTTTAACATACAATCCCGCCTTTACTAACCTTTCACGTTTGATCCGTGCCAATTGGCAAACTATTGCCAAGCACCCAAAATTGTCCAAGATCTTTTCCAATCCTCCTGTCTTAGCTTTTCGGAGACCAGCAAGCCTGAAAGACTTATTTGTGAGAGCTGACGTCTCCTCTAATAAAAGCTGTTCAACTGCAGGATGGTGCAAGTCGTGTGGTAACAG